AAGGTTGACCTCCAAAATAGAATCGTGAAGTCTGCAAACAAAGTCCGCCATGGTTGACCAAGCTTGAAGGCGTGAACATGGACGACTTAGATGAAGGTAATTCCGAACCAAGTCACGAGTGAATATCGTGCAAGTGTTTGGCATGCGTAGCTTTATTTTTTCTCATATAACTCAACTGCATATGTGTAGTACTGTGATGATGTAGAAATGAGCATATAAATCATTGTTATGCTGTAAATGGAGCTGATTGTTTGAGTGTTGTTAGGGTACTTCTGCAAAGGTTTTGTTGGGCTTATTGGACTTATTTTACATGCTTCTCTTTTGGAATCATGTCTAGCTTAGTTGTAGTTTGAAACATGTTTATATTTGCAAGTTCTTAATTTTGTGTTTGTTTTATTGTATACTAACTCCAAACTGAAAATGTATGCTTTTTTTGGTTTTCTGTTTTCCATAGCTGGGCAATGATGGTTTTTTATAACAATTTTCCATTAGTTAAAATTGAATGTTTTCTTCTTCATACTTTATTGTCCAAATTTTAATGCGGTGTAATTTTATGATAGAGTATGTGGATCAGTGGATGATCCAGACTTCATCGATTCGGAGAACAATTTGGAGTCTGATCGAGGCGACATCGAATATGACAAAAATGTGATCGACGGGATTGGAGGGGAATTGGTTTGACATGAAGATCTAGTGACAGATGAACGGGAAGAGGTGAACGATATTGGGGTAGATGATTTGGAAATGTCGTCCGAGAAACTGTTGTCCCAATGTTCATCCGATGAGGATATGAATCCTCAGTTTCCTGAATTTTCATTCAAGTCGGACATGAAGGGTCCGTAGTTTGTGGTCTGGCAACTTTTCAGTTTCGATGAGTTTCGAGAAGCGGTCAGAACTTACAGTGCACTAATTGGGTACAATGTAAAGTTAAAGCAAATGAGCAACGTAGGGTACAGGGAGTATGCAGACTGGGATGTAAATGGAGAATATGGGCCTCTAAAGTGAACGCGTCCTAGAGGTTGCAAGTGAAATTGTACACTTCGGAGCACGTTTGCAGTCGAGACCAGTTTAACAGACACTGCAATTATATTTTTTTGACACATCGCTATATCGATCAATTCAAGGCGGACCCTGATTGGTCCCAGTTAGTCTGTTGCAGTGGCGGACCTAGGGGTGGCATGGGGGGCTGCCCCCCACCCACCCCAAAAAAATTTTTTTTTTTTAAATATGAAAGGAAAAGGAATCGACAATCATTTCAAACCAATGTTTTCTCTCGCCTGAGTCTCCTCATCTCATTTTCTCTTCTTTTTTTCATGGTAAAATTAAGGTTGTATATTGTTAAATGGATACGAGAATGGTTGTGATAATACTGAATGACTGAACAAGAATAGTTCAAAACTTCAAATCCCATTTATCTTTGTTTAAATGATTTATAGTTACTCTCAAAGAGTGGAAATTGCATTGCCAAATGAAAACAGTGAAAAGTCTGGCTCCACTCTATAGCCATTTCAAGTTCAAT